GGGGCCAAGTGGGCGGGGGGGGGCAGAACAGGGGTTGACCCCCCCCACGAGGCCGGTGTGTGTGGGGAAGGGTGAGCCCGCCCCCGGTTGAGTTAACAGCCGCGATGTGCTGTTGTGTCCGTAAGGGAGCCGGCCGCTGTCTCTGCGCTGGCCGGGTGCCAAGTGGGGAGTGCGTTGGGGTCCCCTTGCCGGCTGTGACCAAGGTTGGCAGGAGGCAGGATGCAGGTCGAAGTTTTTCTCTTTTCCCCCCTTTTTTTTGAGGAAAAAGCCGCCCATTTTCATGGAGCAACGCTTGCTCCGTCTCCTCTGACCAAGGGGCTGGGGGCGATTCCATATAAACCCCCAGCCGAGTGCAGGGCCCCTCCTTGTGAGAGCTGCCGCCCAGCCCCCCGCCTCGCCCAGGGCCCCGTTACGCTGGTCGCTCCCCAGACGCCGACCGTGCTTGAACTGCGCCAGCGTTTTGTCCGCCCGTGAAGTCCCTTTGCTTTCCACGGCTCCGCTTGGGTTGTAATGTGAGCCCCACAGCCAGCGGACGGGCCGCTCTGGGCGGGGCGCCGGGTGCCCTTCCTGGGCCGCTCTCGTGAGTCATGCGGGGACGGTGCCAGCACGCCTGGCTTCGCTCAGCAATTCCCGGGCCCCGCCCCACGCAGCGAACAGGAAAACACCCTCCTGCCTTTCCATTTTCACACTGCGCAAGGGAAGCGGCCGCGGGAGGCTGGGGGCGATGAACCAGCCCCGGCTCAGTATCCCCGGTGTCCCGGGGAGGAGGACAAGGGGAACGTGGGCCCGCTGGCCCTGTCTTTGGGCCCCGCCAGATTCTCGGTTGCCATGAATCCGGTCTGTTCTGTGCGGCGCCCCTGTTTATTCGCAGGCACGCAGAGCCCCGCGTCCCTGAGCCCAGCAGGAACAAGCCCCCAGGGGCAGGCGGCTCTCTCAGTCAGAAACGCCTGAGGCCACAAAGCCTGCCAGGCCGGTGCTGCAAGGTGCGCCCTCTCTTTCCCCACCGCTTCTTCACGGGCTGCCGAGTCTCCAATCTCGCATACCGGCTTCGCCGCCAGCCCCGCAGACCTACAGCTTCAGTCCGCCTGCCTCTGCTGGCTGCTTGCCTTGGGCGGTGGCTTCTACTGCCTCCGGCTCTCACCACACAAAGGGGCTTCCTTGCTCCTTCCCCTCCGCCTGACTAAACGGTGCACAGCACATCTTTGACTTACACCCGGTCTGTCAACTGTCATTGGGCACTTTCCATTTAATCTTTCTTTCTTTCTTTCTTTCTTTCTTTCTTTCTTTCTTTCTTTCTTTCTTTCTTTCTTTCTTTCTTTCTTTCTTTCTTTCCCTTTCACATTAATATGTTTAAAAATCCATCCAGATCATTTTCAAAATAAATCTTGCTTCCAAGTGAAACATGCAGCTGTGTGGGCTTTTGGTGTTTTGTTTTTGAACGTGTCAGAGAAACGCCCCCCCCTCCCCTTTTTAGCAGTCTTTCTCTGAAACCGTTTGGCAAATTCAGTCAGAACGAGTGAGTGGTTTGGGCGCACCCCAAACTGCATATTCCAGCACGTGACGGATTTCTCGAAAAGCTGGCGAGCTGCCAGGAGCACAAGAAGCACCAGGGCTAGATAAATGTAAGCGGGGGAATGATCCCGCTATTGTGGGGAACTTTCCTGGCTTCTATACACCCCGGTGAAATGAACCAGCGAAAGGATCTGAGTCCCCGCTCCCACTTCCTCTACCCCATGGCTCCCTGATCCCGAGGGCTCCCCCTCCACTCTCCGGAGTAGCAGAGCCCTTGAAACCCCAACAAGGCAGGGCCCAGGTTTCCTGGGGCTTAATCCCTGACCTTGTAGTCACTGGGGGCAGGAGTTAGGGTGTCCCCACTCCGAGGTGCTCTCTTTACACTGCAGGCCTTCTGGGCCCAGTGATCACTTCATAAGGTTCAAAGCAAATACAATTTATTAAACAACAACTGATTAAAGAGAATAGGATAAGAAACAATGAGAATGGTTAAATGAGAACACACAGCCCTGCTCTGTAGCACAGGGACATCAACACAGCAGTCTGCAGAGTGTAAGGACAGTTCACAGTCTCTTCCTTAGAAGCCCTGGATGTGCTGCAAGGGGCTGCAGGCTGGACACACTTGCACTGGCAGTGACCACACAGCCTCAGTCTCTAAGTGGCCAGACCCCTCTCCCAGTCCAGAGCCTTTCCCCACACTTTGCAGGTCCCAGTAGCTCACCACATCCAGCTGCAGGCTGTGCTGCTTGGCCAGTTCCAGCTCCTTGTGTTGTTTCTCTGTTCCTTTTGGCTTTCTGAGCACTGCCAGTCTGCTGCTCAACACAGGGTCTGCACTGCTTGGCCTGTCTGTGTCTGGTTCTGTCGCTGCAGGACTTCTTCTTGTACTCCTCTTTCAGCTCTCTGTCTTTGCAGGACCTCTTCTGCACACAGCTTGTTTGTTCAGAGACAGAGCCAGAACAATCCCCACTTACAACCTGTCAGTCAGGCTGAGCTGGAGTGTTGGCTGCTTTCCATTGTCTCTGGGGTCTGTCAGTCTCGTGAACCCTTCCCCTTCTGAAGCTGGTAAACCAAAAAACTCCCACAGAGTTTTAGTAAGGGGTAACAGTCCCCTTACATAAACCAACCCGCACGCCCGTGTGCCGTTCCCTGGCTCCGGTTTCTCACTGCCGGGGAGATGTGTGGGGAGAGCTCCCTGGGGCACCCCACGTCCTTCACGCTCAGCTCATGGCTTTCCTTCTGTCACCGCTCACAGGTGGTGCCCACACTCGGCCCCTCGGCTCCTGGGCGGATCCCCCCCTTCCCGGGGAGCCCCCCCTCTCCAGCGGCAGAGAGACACCCTTCCTCTGGGAGTCCACTCCAGTGCAGTGACCCTCTCTTGGGGGGCCCTTCTCACCTGGGGGTCCGCCCCTCCGCCTCCGGGACGGCGCCTCTCAGGGTCTTCAGCCACCTGCCCCTGCTGTGAGCCCCTTAGGGGGTCCCCTCCATCTGGACCCCGGGGCCTCCGCTCCCAGAAGGAACAGCTCCCCCCTTTTCTTCTGACCAGAGCGACTCCCAGCCAGCCCCAAACAGGAGGGTCTATTGAGCTTTGAACAGCAACGGATCCCTCAGGCCAGTCGGCCTGGCCCCCAGCCCCACGTCAGTCTCCCCTGCAGCCAGCTGAGTCCTGCCTGCTCCAATCCGTCCCCCAAAAACAGCCCCCGTCTCCCGGCAGAGCCTCCAATACCCCAGCAACAGCCTCCCCCCCAAATCCATTGTCTCCTCCCCAGGTAAGAGGGTCACCTGGCCCCTCATCTCCGCCTCCCTCCCCGTCCAATGTTCTCCCCTCCTGGGACCAGCTGGTCTGGTTGCCGGGGTCCCCTCTGCATTCCCTTGTCTGTCGTCTGACCAGAACTGGCCATGTCCTCTGAGCAGGGTTGGGGTCACCAGGGTCCCAGACACCCCGGCTCCAATTCCAGGCTGTTCTCTGAAACAACAAACCCCCCCCCCCCTTGTCCCATTAAACCAGTAACATCCGGGCACTGAGTCCCCCCTCTGCATGCAGCCCCCCCCCTTGAGTTCCCAAACTCCCCACTTCCTCACAACAAAGAATTAAGTTAAGGTCCGGAGCAAGGCCAGGTAAATCTACTAGAAAGCTATAAAACAATAGAGAACTGGGAAATAAACCAGGCAAATAATAGAACAATACAAGCCACGTAACATGCAAATTGCAATATGATAAATAACTGAGAAATAATCAACACAAGTCCTGTGAAAAGAGAAACCAGTGAGTGACAAGTGACACATATTTCTGGGGGGGTTATTTTCTGAGCTTCCCTCCAGCGTATGTGTCTCTCCCCACACCGGGTTGCCTTGGTCCCCCGTGGCTGGCTTTCCTCTTCTCCCTCCTTGCCGAGGAGTTGGGTGGCCAATAACCCCCCAACCACCATCATTTCTACTCCAGGAAGGCCGTCTCCTTGTGCTTGGGACTATTTTTGGTTCTTTCTTCTCGGCACCCTCCATTGGCAATGGCACGGGGAAGTGAAAATCCCCACAGGACACCTCAGCGTGACTTGGGCCATCCCATGTTTGCGATGGCTCTTCCAGGAAGCCCGCGCTGGGGTGACCTCGGGCAGAGCTGAACGAACACGGTCACAACCTGTTCAGCATGTTGAATTTAGCAGCGTTTCTTTCCTTGCTGCGGTTACCAGGAAATCAGGCCCCATTATTCACCATACAGCCAGGGAGGGGCACCCAGATGCCCTTAAAACCTGCCCCAAAACTTTTATTCTCCAGCTGCTGTGTCTGGCCAAGCCAGGCCTGGGGAAGGCTGAACCATGCGGCGTCTGCGCTCCCTGCTGGTTCTAGTGCTGCTGGCGATGACCGTGCAGCTGGGTGAGTCTGGGATGGGGATGTAGGGACCAGTCTGTACTAGGATGGGTTGGGTCACAGAAATCCCCTTGGGGGTGTTCCCCAATGTGTTGATCATGCCCCTGGCCCCCGCCTTCCTGCCCTGGGGGGCTCTCCATCATGCTGTCCTGCTGGGCCACCCTCCAGCCAAGGTGCAGAGTTGGGGGTACGGCCCCCCCCTTTCATAGCAACACGGACGCTGAGCCGGTTCGGTGATTAGGGCTCCGCAGCCAGGACATCGAGCTGTAAAAGGGACCAAAACTCCCAACAAATCCGCCCGAGTCTGGGCAAAACTTTTACAGCGAGACCCAAACGTGGTTCGTTCCGTACTAGGAGATTTCCCCGCGTTGCTCGGCTCCTTCGCTCGATTCCCCTTCGTTGTTTGGAAAATGAAATGAAAATGTCCCGGCTGCATTTCAATCACTGCCCTGGGGCGAGGCTGGGGGAGGGGGGCGTCAGTTTGCAGGCTGCCCCGGGGAGAGACGACAGCCCCAGCCCTCTCCCACCGCTGCAGCTTGGGGCAGGTGAGAAGCGCCTCTCCATGGCTGCTGCAGCTCCACAGGACACAGCCGGGGAGGGGGGCATGCCCCCCGGCTGGGACAGGTCCAGATTCCTCTCCCCTGGATCCCCCCGGCCAGTATGAGGAATGCAGAAAACTGGGGGCTTTCCCCTCGCTCCCTGACAAAGGGGAACAGCCAGCCATGTCCCTGCATGAACGTGGGGCAGCTTCCACCCCCCTTAAATGATGCATGGGGGTAGGAGGCTCAGGGCTGGGGCAGTCCCTGATGGAGGGAGGTGCATCCTTAGCGAGCCCCTTTCGCCCGCCTCTTTTCTGCCTGGTTTTCCGAGCCGCAAGCCAATTCCCCGCCCATCCCCTTGCCCTGGCACAACCAAACCCTGCCTTTGCTGTCAGTTAGGAACAGAGGACCCTGCCTACGGCATTGGGCAGTCCTAGCGCTCGCCGTTTCAGAGTGCTTCAACGGACAGGCAGACACACAGAGGCACCGACAGACACGCCTCTCAGATAGGCAGGAGCTATAAATAGGATTTAAAAGCTCGCACGGGAGCCGCGACAGATCAGGTTACGAAGCCAAAATAAACAAAAGACACGGCTCATTCTAATCCACTGAGAAACTTGTTACATGCACATACTTACCCTGGACTGCTGGTCCTAGCTCAGGGAAAAGGCTCCAAGCGAGTTGCCCGTAACTCCCAGTGAGTTGCCCGTTTTCCCAGCTCGTTAGAGGTCTTTGTTTTCAGGTTCCCTCTCCAGGTGGTGTCAAAGGCCTGCCCCAGACAAAGGCTGGTGGCTTCCCTTAAATAGAGTTTCTCCCAGAGCGGGAATCCTTTGTTCAGTCTCTCTAACCCCATGGAAAAGTATCAAATCCAAGATGGAGTCCAGTACCAGGTGGTCAGGTTATATGGCTTCCTAGGGCCAACCACAGTTTGTCTTACAGGAAAACGTACCCCATTCATGGGTTGTTGGTTTGAGCACCGAGCCATTAAGTTCCCAAAGCAGCAGTAATGGCCCTCATCCGCACATTTAGAATGAACAGAAGATGCACCTTGCATACTTCTAACTTCACCTGCAAGAAGGATCCATGCCCCGAAATAAGACAGACAGGTTCAGGAGACTGAGACTGTAAATGTGACAGGTTACATGAGCTGTTTTGCATAACTCATCTCTGAGTCATGCATATTTATAGCCATGGGCAATTGTCTTAAAGTGGGGGGAGGGCACATACTTCACAGGGGGAGATATGATTTGGGGGAATGGAATTGGGCCAGTAAATAACAGAGGGATCCAACCCCTTGGCTCTCAATAGATCCCCCCCCCCCCACACCAAGTCCTTCCCACCTGGATTCCGTCCTGAGCTGCCCCATTCAGATCAATTGGGGAGTGTTGATTCTTGAACCTACTGATGGCAAATCAAATGACAACGTGGCTAAGAATTGTGGCTGGTGCTGATTGGGGCAATGGGCGGAGCTGGAAATTATGGGTGGGGCTACTGGACCATATTGCCCTCCATACTCCTTTTCTGGTCCCAGAAATGCCTGCTCCCTACCCACCCCACACGTTAATATCGTTCTTTTCTCTGTCTTTACTCGGTGCTCAGGGGAGCTGGAATCACACAGGTAAGATGCCCTGTGACAGACTGGGCCATCTCTGGGCATAGCTGAGGGCGTCCGCTCAGGGCGAATTGCTCAAATCCGGGGCTCCTTACAGCCCCCAGACTGGTGACCTCTCCACACAGGCCACAAACCAGTCCCACAGAGCGCTATAGCTGCCTGCCTGAAGCCTCCCTAGCAAAACCCCTCCAATCCCCAGCAATATCCGTGCCCCAGATGGCCCCGGGCCAATACACAGGTGGGGGGTCCTAGCACCCAATCCCACCTACCCCGAACAAGTTCTGTCCGGTTCCAAGAAACCAGCCACAGATCCCTGGTCAATTTACCCTCTGGACCTTACCCACAAATCACGCTGGGCCAATCCTTTAGAATCTATATCTAAAGGTTTATTATTACAAGAAAGAAAAGCATGAGAGTAAGGTTATTAAAGTACAGTACGTTACATGCACCGAATCTCCCAGTCCTCGATGCAGGCTCTAGCAGAGATGTTACAGCTGCTGGTTTAAAAGTTCTTGTTGCACATCCTAGCATCAGGATGGGTTCACAGGTCTTCCGGGCTCTTCGATCCCTGCAGTGCTGCCTCTGGGATGAAATGCTGAGCTGAGAACCAAAATGGAGTCCCCCACATGGCCTCTTTACACATCCTTCCTGGCCTCTCCTTGGCCGCAGCCGGTCACCTGGTCCTCAGCCTCTCTCTGTTGCAGCTCTTAGGCCTCCACCCTCATGCTTTAGGTGTGTCCTTGGCCCATCGAGTGCCATTGTCCCGCAGGGCCTCACTAATTAGCATGTCCATAGGCCCGGCTCTGCCCAATGCTCAACCACATGCAGAGAAATATTCAGTTTCCACACAGATTACAGATTCCTACCTACACACAGACATTCTACACTCACATCAATAGCGTCCACAGGCTCAGCAGACAGTGAGCTTCTATTCAACACCTCACATGGCCCCCTTCTATACCATTCTTGGGGCCAACACCCCCACCTATGGGTGCAGCAGTGATCTGGCTGCTCCCCTCGAGATCCAGTAACGTGACATGCCCACAGAAGAACACCTGCCTTTGCTGCCCTGGACATGTGCCATGAGAGGTGGAGCCAGGAGTCCTGGGTTCTCTCCCCAGCTCTAGGGAGGGAGAGAGGTCTAGTGGTTAGAGCAGGAGGAGGGGCTGACAGGACCCTGGGTTCTTTGCTCCGCCCATGTCCATGCTGTTCCCCTCCAGGGTGCGCCCGGCACAGGATCTCAGTCCGAGTTGTCGGGGGTGGGGACGCCCGAAGGGGCCGGTGGCCGTGGCAGGTCAGCCTCCAGTACAATGGACACCACCACTGCGGGGGGTCCCTCGTCTCGGCCCAGTGGGTCGTGTCGGCAGCGCATTGCTTCGACTTGTGAGTACCTGGGCCTGTTCCAGCTGAGCCACCCCACGGGGAACTGCAGTGTGGCTGGGCTCGCCTCCCCCCTCGCCGACCCACCCGCTTCTTGCCAGCATCCTTTTCTCCTCCCCCCCAGCTCTAACCTCGCCTCCTCCTACCAAGTGAACCTGGGGGAGCACCAGCTCTCCAACCCCTCCCCAGGCCGGATCTCGTCCAACATCAACCGGATCATTCTCCACCCCAACTTCCGCAAGGAGCCCCACAGAGCCGACATCGCCCTGGTACAGCTGGTGGAGGCGGTGGGATACACCGACGAAATCCGCCCCATCTGCCTGCCAGGCCCTTCCAACACCATCCCTGAGGACCACACGTGCTGGGTCACCGGCTGGGGGAACACAGGCACGGAGGGTAAGAACCCCTGGGGGAGGCGCTGCCCCTCTGCTCCCTGAGACCTGTGACTCCTGCAGCATCTCTAACTACTGCACGTCCAACTCTCTGCTGTCCCCTGCCAGCCCTCTATGGGGCATCTGCAGGGCTGAGGGGGGAACCTGGGTCTGAGATGCAGGTGTGCTCTGGCTCCCTGCCTGCAGAGCACACCCTGTGTGGGGCAGACTGGGCCCTGCAGGCTCGGTACAGCTCTGGTAGCTGGGCGGAGGTGGGGAATGGATACAGGGGATGGATCTATTGGTGGGGATGGGGAGGAGCCCTGGGGAGGAGATGGAGAGGGGGCCT